GCATGAAGGGCAGGAGAAACGGGGGTGAATTATGCCCCTTGCATCTCCAGAGAATCGCCTCTACTCCCATAGTCAGTGCGAATCTCCCTAACTTGTGTTGACTCTGCTTGTCCTGAAGTCAGCCCTCCATCTGTGGTGCTGCAGTCCCAACCCCTGCTCCCCCTGTCCCCGYGGCTGTAAGCTTGACTGCAGCGTGCGCGCAAGCACAACTGATTTCCCAAGTCACAAGTGCCAGGTGCAAGAGCTGCTGTCACCACTGCTGCTCTTGTGGCTGCTTAAGGMCTGCCCAGCTCCAGCGAGCTTCATTCTTCCTTTCCTCCATGCTCCTCTGTAGGCAAATGAAGTCCAGGACAATGGTACTCCTGCTTCTGTTTGCCTTGTTTTCCTCTCTGTTTGGGGAGTGCCTGTAGAGTCCGTGGGTAATGCTGCTTCTTGACCATAACTTCCTTCTTCTGCCTGGCTCCATGTACACGACTGTGCCCCAGAGCGCCCAAGTAGGAGCGGGAACTCCCAGAGGGAGGGGGGCCACGCTTCCGCGTGCCTCAGAGGCGCACAGTTGCCTTGCTTTTCCCTGGAGCTGATGCCTCTCCTCCTAAGCCCTATGGAGCAGGCGAGCCTGCCTTGCCCCAGAAAGCAGAGAATCTTCCTTCAGGATGATCCCCGGCATTGACTTGTCACCGTTCCCAAGCAGTCTCCCTAGCCCCACCAGCGCTTGCATCTTCTCTTCTTCTGGAGGCATTCCAGCTCACTTGAAGCTTCAGAGTGTCAGCCGCGTCAGCTGAAGGACTGCAAGCTGCTTTGCACACAGCTCCCCTGGCAAGAGCAAGGTCAGAGTGTAARGAGAGCTCTTCTGGTGACCAACAGGTGTTTACTATGTGGCGTAGTTTGACCAGGGAGGCTTCTGGAGCACCACGGCACCTGGGAGGGTCTACCTGTTCTCCTGTTTCAAACCTGTCCACCAACAGGTGACATTTGCAGTACATCAAATCAAGGCAACTTCTGCCACTCTCAGAACTCAAGGGCATCCAGGGTGGCTTTGTTGAGCCACTTGGCTGCCCCTTTGCGGCAAAAGGCATCATACCCCGTGCCACACCTTCATTGCTGCAGCAGCTCTCTTGCTCTCTTTACCAAAYGCTCCCTCTTCTTGTCCCTGTAGGAGGAGCAGTTTGCTCTCTCGGCTGTGCTCGTGAAGAGACAGAGGTAAAGATGCTTTCCTCCTCACTAGATGGGCTGTGCGATAAGCTCCAGTCCCGTCCCACACAAGCCTCACGCCACACAGTGCCCAAAGCTCTACCCGACTGCCCCATCTGCCTCCGTGYCTTGCCTTTCTCACTAGCGGTCAGCTACACCTCACCGCTTGGGCACCTAGGGCTGGGCTCTTGGAAGCTCTGCCTTCCTGCTGCTTGCAAAGGGGCCTAGAGGGGTGCCCCCCTTGCAGCGGCTTCTCTGGCCCTTAGCCACTGAYTGGAGTGCAGCCCAACACTTGATGTTCCCAGGGACCCCGAGGGAGGTTTGCTGCCTCCCTCCCATTCCCATGGCACAGTACCAGCCTGCAAGAACGCTCATCTCTGTGGCCCCCTTTTTCTAGGCAAGCACATGAGGGCTTAGGAGCAGCACTTAACCAAATCCAGACCCTCCAAGGAGAGCTGCGGCAGCTCCACCAAGTCCTCTACCAYGTGAAATGGGGTGCAAAAGACCTTGCCCGATGTGCTCTCGGCGAAGCCCTGAAGCACACCGAGCTCCCAGGCGTGACCGGATTGGTAAGAAGCCACTGCAGAAAGCAATCCCCACGGCTTTTTTTTTCTCATCCCCTCACGTACCCTAGTAGAGCTGCCTGCACTAGCAAACAGAAAGGCTGGAGCTGCTGCCGCAACAAGTACACTGGCTTCCTGCAGCTGCTTGTGCTGTGACTGCGCTCGGCTCCTAGGGCCACCAAGGGAGATTGGCTAGTCTTCCACCCCACTTGCTCTCAGTCGCGATAGCTCCTAGATGGGAGGAGCTGCCGGGAGAGTCTCTGCACCCCATATTTGCACGTGCTGCCCCTGTGGGGACWAGTTCTCCAGGACAAGGYGTAAGCCAGTCCCYRGAAGCACRTCTGGSCGCCTGGGGTTCAYGTTGGCCTGGCCGATGCACGGGAAAGCTRCTGTTASRGCCAGGCTYCCTGCTCTCCTGCWSTTGGGAAWCCARTCGSAAAAGGCGCAGCCCACATGCTTCATCAATTCCTCCATCTCTCACCTCAGCCCTTTGCTCAGCCTTCTACTAGCCCTGCTGCTCATTGCAGTGCCCCGCTCTTCTGCAACTGGCCCAGCAGAGCCAAACAAAGCCGGCAGCTTTCCAGGGAATCGCCCAGCTCCTTAGGCCAGAGGGCAAGAGCCGAGTTCACCTGAGCTGCCCCAGAAGGGCAGCTGGCATGTGCCTYTGAYAGCTGCTCTTTCTCTTCCTTCCTAAGATGTTCAAAAGTTCATCAGTGAAGCACTGGAGAAGCTGGAGTATAACCAAGTCCAGATGCCGGATTTKGCCYGCAAATCGTCAGGTGCGGCTACAGCACAGGCAGAGGCGAGAGCGGGYGCCTCGTGCCTATRCTTAGGCCTGGGTTAGCTTTCCTTCTGCACGGCCCATTAGCTTAGCTGAATGAGTCACTGCCCAGGCTTCCAGGGGCGCATCATGCAAGGAAGACAGAGGCTAATAGCACTGCTGCAAATCTTGCAGTGCTTGGTGGCATTTTCTCCAGTTGGTGCTACAGGGGCAACAGGCATCCTGGTGGCAGCGTCCAGGAGGACACAGTGGTATCTGCATCCCTTGATTCTTCCGCAGGGAGCACCAAATGGAATCCGTGGCAGTCTCAGTGGAGGAAAGGGAGGCAGGTCCCAGGGCTGTGACCGTTCACACACAYGASCGCTGTTCAATATAAGCCCTGTTGTTCCTGRGTCTCCCAGGGTCTCCCTGGGGTTTCTCYAGGTTGGGAATGGGGATAATTGTCAGAGGGGAGTTCCTGTGTTGCTCGTCTAGGGACRGCACCGCAGCCTACRTGCTCCACGAGGTCCCGCACATAGATGGCAACCTTAGGAATGGATGCAGCCCTCCAGGGCGACAGTGCCTGATGGCGGCATTCATGTTTCAGGGGCTGCCATCGTTCATGGCAAGACTTTGGCCTCCTATCSCARTAYCAAAGGGATACTCTTCTG